AAAGGTTACCCTGCCAGAGGGTAGCTGAGCTGAGATCCTGGCTGCTCCTGGTAGTTTTACCCACCTCCATTCCCACCCCTCAGCTGTGGTGGCAGTGTGTGTCCTCTCTCATTGCTCCAATAAGAAGAGTGAAGGCTAGTGTGACTCATAATAGTGTAGCACGATTAGTTTTAGAAAAACCTCTAGACATTTAAAAAGAGAACAAGATGAACTTCAAAGTCCACTCCTGCTGAGAAGGTGGATGGGCCCCCTTCAGCTGGTCCCATTTTTATGTAATTAGACAGTCATCTCAGTGCCTGATTTCATTTTCTCCAACAAGCCCCTGAGATCACCTAAATCTCATCTCTTCCTGTTATCATATTAGCTACTATCTTATCCTATTATGTCAGGACAGTGAAATATGATACCTCCCAGCTCATCCCAGCCCCCCAAAAATACAAAGAATGAAGGCTTTGGGGCTGGGCCTGACTCTGCTTCTCAAATGGCTGTTGAAGATGGATATACAGAATAATGAGTTGCTTGGCACAACAATTTTCTGAACATTTCATTTTGTTCAGTGCTCACACATGAATGGTTGAACAGCTCGCTGCTGCTGCTGCTTCGTGTAATACTATGAACACTTCCACCTTAAAAACAAATACCTGCAAAAATAATCCCAGATAAACCCTGATCAAGATATTTCATGACATTCATTTAGTATGTTATTTGCTAAAGATACCTCATTTTCCTAATCATCATTCCATTCACCTCAAGAATTCAAAACATTCCCATGACGCTTGTTTCCCCATTGTTCTCAGATGCGTTCTATAAATTACTTCCTAGTGAATGCCTCCATTTTGCTAGTGTGGAAGCTGCAGGCCGGGGGAATTATATGAAAGAGCATCCAGTCAATTGTGAGTTAATCTCTGACTTCCTCCCTGGTCTCAAGCCAGCTCCCTAAACCCAGGCTGATGCTAATTCTTTTTGTCAAACTGATGTTTTCAAGCCCCTCTTCTTGGAAATGCTTTCCTAGGGGGTGGTCTTGGCTTTTATCTGCATGGACTGCAAAGGAAGACAGACACTTAATCATCTGTGAGATCAGCACTCTGGGAATGGGGGGTGGGAATCCTTAAATTTGCCTTCCATTTCTCTACTTGGGAAAGCAGTCACCTCTGGACTGGAACTAATTAAAGACTTTGTATTTCAGAGGTTAGTGCACTTCCCTTGTAAATCAAGAATTATGAGGGCAAATCTCCCTGAGGCATGTTCTCTCTGTTTATTTATTTATTTTGGAACCTGAGTGCAGGTAGACCAGTTAGTTATATGACTCAGATCCTAATCTGCCCTCAGTTTGTGCAAGACATCTTTCTTATTTCATTCAATTTTAATTTAACTTTATTTCTTCTTTATCTTCAAATTCTATTTGTATTCCCCCAAGTTTTCCCCAAAAGGTTTCCACAAAACTCTCTTCAGTGAGTTTGATTAATGTCATTGTGTGTGTATGTATCTTTTAAAAAATGTATTGCTTTGTTTAACGTATGTATTAAATTTTACATAAACCTAGAACTAAAGAATTCTTTGTCTCATTATTTTACACAGTGCTGTGTCATTAAAAATCTCTAATACATGGGCTGACTTATCTGTGAGAGCACCTGCTGCTCTTTCAGAAGACCCCATTTCACTTTCCAGCACCCACCTCGGGCAGCTCACAACACCTGTAACCCCAGTTCCAGTGGCTCTGACTCCATTTCTGGTCTCCACAGGGATCTGCACACATGGTGCTCCTACATACACTCAGGCCAAACGCATACACATAAAATTATATATTTAGTTGTTGTTGTTGTTGTTGTTTTGACTACTAGGTCTGTCTCTGTAGTTCTGGCTCTCCTGGAGCTCACTGTGTGGGCCAAGCTGAACTGACTCAGAGATTCTCCTGCTTCTGACTCCTGAGATTAAAGGTTTGTGTCACTATC